TGTAAGATCTTAACCTTGCTTAACTGCTTTGACTAGAGTGTCATGATAGTCCAATCCTAAGTGAGTTATGTGCTATATGTGTGTGAGGTTTTGTGTTATTCTGTGCATTGCATTTGATGTCTAGAACTTGCCTCGCGTATTTGCAAAGTGAAATATTAGTTTTATTCAGTCGTGGAAGTGATATAGGTGTTTCCTTGTTGAGCCAATGATATGATTTTACCCACCTAATTGTTATGTATCTTAGTTAACCCTTTTGAGCCTGTAATCCTGTTTCCTTGGCAACCACATTATAAGACCTACCAAATTATTTGAATTGTCCATCTATTTGAACCTTGTACCTCTCGTGCGCACTTGAATTTGTTATGAACTTTGTAAAAGTTAAAGTGTGGGGTGGTTGGTTTGGCTTTTGAGTGGAACTATTGAAATAAGGAGAAAGATGCAATGTTTTGAAAACGTAAGAGCCACTTGAATTGAAAAAGAAAAAAAAAGTGTATGATGGTGAAAAATATCCCTATATAGTAGACTCTTGATGTAATTGTGCTTAAAGAAGTAGGGAGTTAATGTATATTGATGTGAAGGTGGAGTTATGGCTTTACATAAGTGTGGGGTTTTGAATGGTTAATTGTATGTATTTAAGTTCTTAGGGAGGTGTAGTCACTATTTTCAAATGTATCCTACTCGTCCCGCAGCCTACATTACTACCAAATAAAGGCCTACTTGATCCTTGACTGAATGAGCTCAATTAGTCGAGTAGTACACTACAGGCAAGCCTATGGTACGTCTTTTGTGGAATATGAATGTTACTTCTGAGAGTGAATAAATTCTTTCTATCTTGAGTTCCTAATTCTTCTTAAATTTTATTGTGTGTGGAACTACTCTCTATTGTTGTGTGAGGGAACTTGATTCATGAAGGAAAGGTAATGTCATTGACCTCTATGTTAGAGTAAGTGAGCGGGTTGTGAAACAATGAGTGGTGCTTTTGAGTCAAATCTTCAGGCGGGGATGTTACGGTATTCTGCTTAATCTGTTTTAAATATTCTTGGTGTGATGAGTTATTATAGTTGTTGAAAATGGTTGTGTCTCTATGAAGTGTTGTTTGATGGCTTGAGGACGAGCAATGGTTTAAATGTGGGGTGTTAATGGTAGGCTATAATCTTGTGTCTTAATCGCTTATTGCACTCTAATTCACTGTACTTTAATCGTCTTTGAGCTTTAATTGGTAGTGTTTTGCACTTATTGTGTGTTTTATACCTTGTAGGAGTGATTTCGAGCTATTTGGAGCTTTGAAGTCGGATTAAAAGCCCAAGGGATTAAGCCGAGATCGTGTTCGGGTCGAGGACCACGTCTGGACGTCAAAAATCAAGCAAAAAGCCCTACTCTGAGAAAACCCCACTGTTGCGGCGCATGGCGCGCCGCAATTGCCCAACTTAGGTTGTCTGACTGATTTTGACTCTCTGGATTTCCCCACTAATGCCCCCGCATGACGCGTCACCCCATCCGATGCGCTTGTGCAATTTTTACAGAGTGAAAATCCTATTTCGGCAAAGAGAAGGTGGTTTCGTCTGGGCCAGACCCTACTTGGTATAAATATATGAAAAACGTTATTTTCTGGACTTTTGACATACTTTAGACTGAAGGAAGCTAAGGAGGATTTGGAGGAGCAAAACCACAAGGATTTCATCATTCCTTCCTCACTCAAGACCCGAGTTTGGATTGAATTTATGTTTTCCTATACTTTTATTATATTTGTGATGAATTGCTCCATATCTATGGAGTAGTTCTCTTTAAGGTTTAATGGGTTTGGTGTATTGATGATTGTTTGTAGATTATAATTCTAGTTTTATGTATTGAATCGTTTTTGGATGATTTAATTGTTGCATCTATATTCACTAGTTCATGTAATCGAGAAAGGCATAACTTGTGATGTCTTTGCATTATATTGTTGGTTGAGTTCATTAATTCTTCTTAGTAATCGAAAGAGACTAGTTGAATTATTGATTAAACCTGGTTAGGAGGATAATCGAGAGATGTTATCCTAAAGACCAATCCACTACGCATTCTTGTATATCTTCACCGAGCTTAAATTGATTCATATCACGAGGTTGAGACTTAATCAAGAGAGGAGTTTTTGCTGAACGTGTCAATTGATAATTGAGTGAATTCGAGAGACTCACTTAAACATTAGAAGTGAATTATTAGAGTTAGATCCCAACCAATTAACTTGCACCTATCCTATCAAAACTCTATCTTCTCCCATTGATAACCTTCTTGCTTATTCCTTATTTCGATTGTCATTAGTCAAAAGCTTTAGATTCTTAGTTAATGTTAGTTAGACATCGTATAAATCCCAATTGTTGATCCTCTTGGATAGCAACCAAGCTAGAAACTATGAAAATACTGTTTAAATCCAATCCCTGTGGATACGATATTATACTATACTATATTTGATTAGCGAGCAGAATTTAAGTATGTGTTTTACACTCGTCAGTCTACTTTTCTAACTTTAGGCTTCCACAGTGAGAATCACGCTATCAAATCAATCCCATACCTTACAAGCTTCAAAACCAACCATACATGCAAGTCATAATACACCATATGAATCCAATCAAAGTTTTAAATCATAGAACGAAATGCTAGAATTCGAAACGACCTGTCGGGTCGTTATACTCTCCCCCTCCCCCACTTAGACAAATGTTTGTCCTCGAACGTGCCAAGTGTCATTCCAAATCCATCAAACACGGTATAAGCTAATCATAAACATACCCATTAACACAATTCTGACTGAAGGTTCTTCCTTCAACCTTAGCTTACAATCCTTAAAACAAAATTCCAACTTCCGAAACTCCCTCTAAGATCCGATTCTTATACATATACATTGTACCAATCCCCATAGGCTGCACCAAGAAATAAATATACTCCCAATATATAACCACACGATATACCGCACAATTCATATACTCATAGAAACACCTTCCGATCACATTAGCTGCTCATTACCAAACTCGGTATCGGTAACATACCTCTTATCAAATAAACCCTGTTCCAAACCTTTAGAACACTGATAATGATAAAATAAACATGTAGAAACTCATACTCAATCATAAAATCAACAAGACATGGAGTTCTCTCACCCGAAAAGAACCTTTTCCAAATTCTGAGCTGACTACTGACATTCTTCACAAAAACATGCCTTATCCAAATACGATTGCATTAATTACAGGCCCAACAACCTCGCCTCACCCGGTACAAAATGTTTGAATGACATGCCACACCAAATGCCACCTAGAACCACAGATGACACAAGCCGCACACAAAATATGCAACAACCCTAATGTGACCAATAATGGAAAGAGAACAAAATAGGAGAACAATGCAACATGTTCAACAAATACAACAACAAAAAGCACCATGATGTGATTCCATACCAGAAGAGAGAAGCAAAACACACTCAATAAGCTCAAAGAATTATATCCCAATATAGCTTCAGGTGTGGTGCACAACCTAATCCAAAATGTGTCAATTCACATAGAAATATCCACCGAGCCGAAATGCTCATACTCAACAACCATGTGTGTATCAACAACAAGCATGTGAAGTGCATGACCATAACCATGGGAAGATGGATAACAGAATATACAACAAATATTCAAAGCACAACTAAGGTGCAATAAGCAACTCAACATCCCAAGATCCATCTCGTTGAAATCTTGCCATGAGACCTAAACAGGACCCCATAGTGTGCGTGAATAGTAAAATAGTCACATAACTCATTGTAGTATAAGAGAATAACACGGGAGACATGTTAGGGCATGAATAAGATCAACTCCAGCTGATGACACACCCCTAGAAAATGCGGTGCTGAGTAAACAAATCCAATCCAGTACAAAATACACATTCCCACTAGGCCTACCAATATGCCCTCAACCCGATTCAAACCATTATGAATAGATGAATAGCCTCCTAAATGTCCAAAATGAACTATCCATATCATATGCAATCCAGTCAAACCCTTATGTCACGCCCCGAACCGGATGTAACATGATACCCGTTGCTCGACTACATGTGACCGAGCGAACCAACTGGTTGATTGAATCAATATGTGATATTATAACATACTGAATGAGGAAGATAAACTAACACATGTTGATATACTGAAAGTTTGAATAATATAAATCAATGTGTGGAAATACTAACATAAGTTTGAAACATATCTGTAGCCAACATTACTTGACAGGAAAATCATGTGACTCTATCTAACTGTTGCTCTAGTCTATGATGTCTCTAATAAAATTCTGAAAACACCAATTGTCTATAAATACTGGAAGAGTGTAAAGTAATGATAATGCCCCGAAAGAACTGGGGCTCACCAAATAGCTAGTACGAAATTCCTAGCGCTCTGAATCGTCAACCTGTAAATCATTGCCTACATCGTCAGATGCAGGCCCCGGGCAAAAAAGACGTCAGTACATTTGAATTGTAGTGGTATGTAAAACAACTATTACAAAGAACTGTACATGCTGAAACTGAAAATGAGCTATTACACTACCCAAAAAAAATAGCGTTTAGCGACGAATTTTAGCGATAAGCCATATTCCGTAGCTAAATAACGACGGATTAGCGACGAATTTTATTGTTTGTCACCAAATAAGCTACAAAAGAATTAGTATCAAATATAGCGATGGAGTAGCGACAAAAATTTACATCCGTCGCTAAAAATGGGCGCTAAAAATTGGCGCCTCTATTTACCTACAAAATAAGCAACAAAAGTGGGGAGACAAAAATTATTAAAATATAGCGACGGATTTAACGACAAAAAATTTTGTCGCTGCCTTTATTTTACTTATCAAAACATTCCAAATTTAATTGCGACGGAAATTCTGTCGCTAGATTCATAAAAACAATTTTTCCAAGTTATTATTAGCGACAGAATTATTTCCGTCGCTGTGTCTTTTTAAAAGTAAAGTTTATCTAGGGCACAAATCTACTTACAGACTCACATTCTCTCTCTCTATCAAACTCGCCCACATTCTCTCATCTTCAATAATGTGAGATTCTTGCTTCCAATACAACACATTGGGCATGAATCTAAGGCTCATATACAATGGGAACATAGATATCCAATGGAGAATAAAAGAAATTTCGAAATTGGGCAAAAGTTTTTTCTTTATAACTTCTGAAACTGCCGAAAAATTCAAATTAGCATGCATTCCTGATTACTTTTTCTAATTTTGCTCGCTCATAGCTATTCCTGATTTTTTTGAACATGCCATCAAATGGGTTTGACTTGTTTCTTAAAATGAGTCTTTTGGTGAGTTCAAGATTACTTTTTTCCACTGTCTTTTAGTTTGATATACACTTTTTTAGTTCTACCACTTGTACAGAATTTGATGGCTGCTTTGAATACTACTTTAACCTTCTAGATCTAGTATTCTCTTTGCTAATCTTTTGATTTGGAGGATTACACAGTGTACCCCAGCTATTTTAGGATTGAGTTGTAGGTTTTGTATGGATGTGTTGAAATACTTTTTGGTTCTAACAATTTTGTTGAATTTGACAGTAACTTATTTACTTTTAACGATACTTTTTTTTTATAAGATAATAATGCTGCTTTAATCTTTTAGATATGGTATATATAGAAGGTAAATTTATTTGTTAATTTAGATCCTTTCTTTGTTAATTTAGATCTGCTTTATTTACTTTTAACGATGCTTTCTTTTAATTATGCTAATTTTTTTGGTTCTGCTTTCTTTGTTAATTTAGATCCTAGTTCAATTCTAAGTTAGATTTAGGCTATGTGATATATAGAAGGTAAATTTAAACTTTCTCTTATTTTCTTGATTTGGTTCTACCGGTCCTGTAAGTTTGCTTCAATTTTATGTCTTTCAGTAGTTATGATATTAATAAAATTAATCCGTCAATCAATTAACTATGTCAATCCTCTATTTTATTTTTTAATTTCTGAGTATGTTCATAGAATGGAGTGTTAAAAGGTGCTCTATATTGTCGGAGTTATTATTTGAGCTTCTATTTATGGCTTGTGTTTAGTTATTTTTTTTCGTAATCTTTTATTGTTCTGATTATTTTAGATTAAATTGATATGATTTTCATGCTTCAATGGCTTGTTGATACACATTTACTCTAGTCTCTTTCAAGTTAGATATTGTATCTGAAATTATTATGCTTTATCTCATAAACATGATGAGATTGAATGCAAATTTTTTGAAATATTCCTTTAGGATTTTTCAGTGGAAGTGAAAGACGGATTCACACTTTGAAGATCGTTGTTAGCTATCTCGACGGTAATTCTACAATGAGTACTATTATTAAATGATGGTTAAAATTCATAAATAAATGTATTGTTATTCTGTCTCACTTTTCAGGCCATTACCTCATCTGGTGTGAAGAAAGGCGAGTTCCTTTTAGCTGATGTAAACACTCAGCTGAAGAACAAAAACCTCACAACTGATTGTTTCCTAAAGAAAGGCGAGTTCCTTACCGTTTATTTCTCTTTGCTCTTATTCGGATTGTTTCATGTTATGTTATAGTGATGTTCATGTCTAAAAGCTATGTCCATTCATTTTAAAATTAAACAGGAGGAAACTTTAGGACTTAAGTTTTTACTCTGCTTCAAGATTATATGCAATTTTTTAAATTAAGAGAAGGGGACATGTAGCCATAAACTACTTGTAATAATATCTAGCAGATTGACTTTGCATAGAAAGAAAGTGATTGAACCTGTTGTTTGCTAATAAATTTTAGATGAATAATACAGTTAGATATGCATTGTATCATATCCTTCTTTATTTTTATACTAGTCTCTACGAACGTGCGTTGCACGTTATTCCCTATCAATATCACAAAAGAAAAATGTTAGGTAATATTACTGTAATTACATTATATTTGTTTTATGATGTACAAGGATGTTATTAGATACTAATTTTCAATAATGAGGTAAAATAATATTATTCAAAAAAAAATTATCCCCAATTTTATAGTAACACAAACTTTTCAATAGTGAGTAATACCTACTCCTTACAAAATATTAATTTAAAACTATTACACACTCGAAAATGTATGAAACTACCCAGTAAGATCTATACATCGCTTGTGTGTTGTAGGTAGATATTAGAAACAGAGATTTAGTTTTAAGCATTTCAAGAGGGAAAAAAAATTAAATATATAAATAGTATGTCCTACAAGAGAGCTAAGCGAAGTTTTTGGGCTTAAAGCATTTCACATTTATGTATATATATCTATTCTGTATTTTATATACAATAATTATATAAATTTTATACATTTTCTTGGCTATCAAATATAAATAATTTTTGGCGCGGGTTAAAAGTGATAATACCCCTAAAATGTCATTAAAATAGCATATTTGCAATCAAATTTGGAGATACTTTGTAATAACCTTATACGTGTTTTTATTCTCCTAATTCTGTTGGAACATCAGCAGCAACATAAAGTGCAGCAACACAAGTGGTTGTTGAAGTCCATAGTATCGTGTTTGACAAGTTAGAATGTTGATTTAGAAAGTTGAGAAGCGCTTTAACATAAGGCACCTTATTGTGCTTGGATCCAACTGAGCCAATAAGAACCTTAAACTTCTCTCCCTACTATCTTTATCAATTTGCTGTCATTATCCTCAGCTAGTAGAAAGAATAAAGTTCTTATGTCTTTTAAGTTGTCTTACTCTAAATACTTTGCCCACATTGGAGTTGATTTCGGAGGTAGGAGTTGAGATTGCGAGCTTCAAAACCAATTTGGAGACTTCTCTGCAATCTAAAGCTAGCTATGTCACTAATGAGGTTTGGAGAGTCTTTAATTTACATGAAAGTTCAAGAAATAAATTAAAATATTCTTTCCAGGTGCTTCCTTAAACTAACAATATTTTGAAGGTGGGAACTTGTTTAGTGTTTAGTTTCTCTGTTCTACTTAAGTTGCTTCCTTTTCTTTATGTTATTTTTCAATATCATTTTTTTATAAACGTCTTTTTGCCAATCTTTTGAATTGAATACACATGGTAATGATAGAAAATCTTTTGTTGGTGAGAAATCCCGAATTGTACATGTAAGTCAACTTTTTAAATAATTTTATTGACTTTACTTTCATATTGTTTTTTTCATTTTGTAAATTGAATACTCAATATTCTTTAATGTTTCAATTTCACTAATTATTAACTCTTCTACAGGAAAAATATTAGAAAATATTATAGCAACAAACATAGAGTCAATCTGGTATTTATCAGTGTAAAGTATATTACGAAGTTGCGGGAGGAGAAAAGAAAAGAAGAGTATATGGTCTTGGAGCTCAAGAAAAATGCTACTACGGGCCGAATCTTCATGACTCTTTTGGATCTGATGCAACATCCTCAGCAACACCTTCAAATGCTCAATCAACACCGATAGGGAATATGGATGAGTTAGTGACACGGTTGATTCATGTACTAACAGATCATATAGTTCGTGTAATCGTTGAGCGGGTATGTGAATTAGTTTCTTTACCATCGCATCCGCCAAATATTGATCTTACCAACCACCCATCAGATGTGGCACCTACAATTCCTACCTCTTCTGTTTTTGCTAACATTGATGAGGTTCATGCATTGGGTTCTGACGATGACCATGACTCTCCGGCCTCGCATAGTTACCCTATTTTGTTTAGACTTTATTGTTGGTATTTGTGGATGTTTTGTACTTAACGATACAATTATATGCATTATGTTATATATTTTGGACCTTGTTGAATGTTAGTTTATATTAATATCAGTCACTTTTAATTAAGTGTATTTAATAGCATTTATGTAATATGCTTGAACAGGGTACATTTAAAATAATAAATAAATAAATAATTTAAAAAATTAGCGACAAATAGTTTTTGTAGCTAAAATTAACGCATTAAATTAAATATTGCGACGGATTGGCGACAAAAGATTTTTATCGCTGAAACCAGGAAGAACTAGCGACGGATTCTATCGTTGCTAATAAGAACAAACGACGAATTTTGTTATGAATTATAGCGACAAAATTAGTCAAAATAGCGACAGATTTTTCGGTCGCTAAACGTGGCTACGGATATATTGTGTCGCTAATCCGTCGCTAGAGCTGCGACAGTTTTGTATTGTTTGTCGCTATGAGCTTAGCTACGAGCATTTTAGAGACCAACTTGAATCCGTCGCTAATTCGTCGCTAAACTGTGTTAGCGACGGAAATAACATGTATAGCGACAGAATACGTCCGTCGCTAAACGTTGTTTTTTTGTAGTATTAACATAGAACTAATAACTGATAACTGAAATGATAATTGATAACTGAAATATTAACTGATAACTGATAACTGAATAAGGGAAGTAACAATATGAATACTCCCTCTTCTGAATGATGGACCACCTCTTTATCTTAATAAACTATGGCCTCTGGCCCAATATATATGTGCACAATCTACAGCCTCAGGCCTAAGTATATGTATACATAACTACGGCCTCAGACCCAAAAATTCATAAATCATAAACTACAGCCTTAGGCCCAAACATGCATAAAGCATAAACTACGGCCTCAGGCCCAAATATAGGTATTCAACATTCAGAGATTTAAATTCATGAACTGAGAATCATATTGCAATATGTGATGTTGAAATATTGAATCATATTGAGTTACATGATACTATAATATTGAATAGGACTAGACTGAGACATGTATTCTTGAACTGGTTATGAACACTAGAACTTTAATTGTTTATGGCATGCTGAATAATCTTGACTGAGACTCATGGGCATCCAACATAAGTTTATATTGATTACACACTGAGCTCATAACATTCATAATGAAAGTCATGAACGAGTAATAATTCTAGAGAATAGAAGTTCTGCAACTATTCAAGGAACTAAGCTTAACTATATTTCGGAGGCAATTAGAAACGTCGTAAAAGAAACGTAGTGTGGGGAGAGTCATTAACATTCCTAAACATAGAGAGTTAGCCTCACATACATTGACTCTGGCCTTTTTAAACATATCACAATGTTCATCGCCTCTTTTAACAATAATCTATGGCAATATATAACAAAAAGAACCAATATTAGCACTAATGCTCATATTTTTGTCACTTAGGTATTTTATCAAACACCTTATGGTGTAAAGACTCATAGCTATCATTAATGGTGTTTTCTTCACCTAATTCTCATTCTACTACTTCTAGGTGGTTCTACAATCCCAAATAGATATAACTAATACAATTTATCATCACCCACATTATTATAACAATCTTAAGTCAACAACCCAAAACCCTAGCATAGTTCATATGGTTATCTTTATCAAACCCATTTACTACTCTCCAAAAAACTCATCAATTCACAGCTATAAATGATTAGGAAGTAGAAACATCACCTTTTTGATGTTCAATCCTCTTGAATTCGAGTTTTAGGGTTCTGTTTTTCAACAATGGTGTCTCGATAGAATATCTAATGATTGAAAGGATTTACCCATGTTAATAAGGTATTGCAGAATTGAAATTAACTTAGAATCATCATTAGAACTTACCTTGGATGATGGAGGGACCTTGGGGAAGTTAGGTTCTAGAGAGCATCCCTTTCTAGAGTAGGTTTTAATGTTTGGGGTGTGGGGGACGAGGTAGAGCTTTTAAATAAGTGAACACGTCCCAAAATTGAGAAGGAAATAAAAGTAGGTCGGATAAACATCGTCAGCGCGGGGCATCATCACGGGCACCAACATAACTGTGCAAAGCGCCATCAGAGGCGCCAAAACTATAGTGCCTTTCACTGTCAGGGGTGCTAAGGTTAATGCCTTGGACAGTGCCTTGCACTGTCAGGGGCACTGAGGTTAATGCCCTAGATAGTGCCTTGCACTGTCTAAGGCTGTGAGTTGTCATGGACTTGCACTGTCCAAGGCTATGAGATTTCATGGCCTTGCACTATCTAAGGCTGTAAGACGGACCTCCCATAAACTTAGTCGATTCTATTAAATTTTGTGCACCTCACTCTCGGTCTTGATTCCAAAATAACTATTTTCACCCATACTCATCCTGATAGGACTTCACATGTTAAAAGGTCACATTAATACTCATTTAATGCATCCACAACTAATTCAGATTTACGGAGTGTTACATTATCTCCCCCTTGGGATTATTCGTCCTCGAATGATTGTCCTGTTTGTAACTATGACTAACTCTGTACTTTAAACTGGACTGATGGAAACATGTGAACACTGAAATGTCATGAACACATGCATACAAAACTGAATGAATACACAATTATTGAACTGCTGAAATATAGAACTGAACAGGTACTGAACTGAATGGCTACTAAACTGACTGAATACTGAAAGACATGGAGATTAGAATATAAGGTCTGAATAAGAAGGTTAGCTACCCTCAACATTTATCCAAAACACCTGCCAGCTAACAGAGCATAGCACAAGCCTCACAAGGCATCATAAGACACATAACATGAAACATATACATG